GGGAGTGTCGGTGTCCTCTCGGCTCCGGTGGGCTCTGCTGAGCCGCCCCGTGAGGCACCGCTCCTGGTAGGTCCGTGCTCGGCGCTAATCCCTTCGGTCCGGCCGCAGCACACGAGGTGCTCTGCCTGAAGGCCGCCTGGCTGACCTCTCGGCAAGGCCTGAGCCGGTTGCGTTAAGGCAGGGGCGAGTCTGCCTTTGCTCACGGGGAGATGGTGTTTGATGGGTTTCTGCCCACAAGCGAAAGGTGATGTCTTAAGCAGAGCACACGTTTCCTCTGCGGAGCAAAGATGTGCTAAGTCGCATTGTGTCACTCTCGAATAGTGTTGTAAAATGTCGAGTTTGTTTGGGTTTTTTTTAGCCCCCGTAGTGGCAGTCTTCTGCTGCAACTGGTTAGTCATGCTGCCCATTGCAGCCATATTCATATGAGGAATTTAGTTGCTGGACACAGAGTTTATGTTAAGGAATTTCAGAAATACTAGACATGACTGCTGTATTTAAAGGGTTTTTACAGAGGTTGCAACACTTTACATATAGTCTCAAATAATCTGATAGTGTGTTTCAAGAAAGGATAGTGAGATGTGTGACATCCCATAAATCACATTTGTGTGGCTGTCCCTAAATAGAAGAGTCTTCATAGGGAATGTTTACCTCCTTGCTAATTTGGCAGTATCATAAAATTCAGTGACCTTATTGTTGATTTTTTTTTTTTTTAACCTACTGCATAGCTAATTCTGTATTTTCCAGATACAATGGAGGAAAGAAAAGAAATGGCAACACATTGCTCAAGTAATGTGATTGACGAAAAACTGGGTGTTTGCACGAGCAATGGTAGGTGGAGAATACATTGGGATATTCTCTGCCTGGTGTATCCCTTATTAAATGTTAAGACATTTCAGATCAATAGACCTCCTGTACCTGCTTTATATCTTCTTCTGTGTACTTGTGTCCTTGCATGGGCTGCTGTTGCCAGTCTCAGACTTACAAGCCTCCTCAAGAGCTTGTGGAGCACTGGTGCCAGAGCATGTGTAGTAGCCACCTGATGTCATCAAGCTCTCTTCTAGATACCGGATCTGATCTCCTCCCTTTTCCTTATCTGTCTACTGTGGATTCAATTAATAGTTAGTGTATACATTAGCTAACAGGACTCACTGGCTCCTGTTACTGTCCTGTGTTAGTCTGAATTGGAAAAGAACTGACTGATGGGACAACTACATTGTTATGTAGCTCTAGGTTATATATTCTCACTTTTCTTGATTGGAGGCTGCTGACACCTTTTCCCACAGCCAGACCTCATGTTCCTATTGTGGATGATTAAAAAATTAGCATTGATATCTTTCATAATATTTTGGTATCTATTGCAATTATGATCATATTCACAGCTGTACCTTCAATTTCTTTGACCTAAAACTTTTCTATTATTTTAGCTATTTAAACTTGGTAGCTAAAACTTCTTGTTCTCTGACATCAGCTTCACCAAATTGTCACTGCATAATGCAATCATTTTTATTGCAAATCCCCACTGTGACAATATCCTTTTTGTTATAGCTTCAGACTTCCCTCTTCTGACTGATGAAAAGTTTGATTTTGACCTTTCACTCTCTCCAGCAAGGTAAGTAAAGGGTCTACAGGTAAATATACCTTTAAAATGGACATGTGTAAGGTGCTGGGCTGACTTATTTTTCTTTGTAGTGGAAATGAAGATGAAGTTTTTGTTGGACCTTTGGGACACAAAGAAAAATGTATTGCTGTCAATATTGAAGCAAAAAAAAGTGCTGAAAAACAGCACGTGCCTGCTTCTGATGATAAACTCACATGGAGCCCACTTACAGAAGAGAAATTTGTGGAAATTTTCAAAGAAGCTCATTTATTAGCACTGCAAATAGAGACTGGAAGCAAGAATGAACAGACTAAAATAAGCCAACCAGAAGAACAGGAAAACAAGATTATAGAAAAATTTGTGGAGGACTCAAAGTCAAAATTGAGAATACTGAGAATCCAAAGTACGGAAAGAAGTCCCAGGGCTGTCAAAAGGGAGACATACTGTGTGAAGGATAGCCCAGCATGTCAGCTGCCACCTTGTTTTCAGAAGGAATCGGGTAAACTTTTGTCAGATGACAAAACACATTCTCTTCATACTCCTCCAAACAGCAACCCTGTTAAAATTCATGTATCTCCTACAAAAATTGCCGGTTCACCTCTGACACAAGAACAGAAAACTAAGGAAAGAAGTACAAAGGCAACTGGCAAACTGCCAATGGCAAAGCCTTCATCTACTCTTCAAAAAAGCAATTTGACTATTGAAAAGGTAAAAACAGCTTCTGGGAAACAATGTTTTCTTTAAACATGGCCTTTGTATGTTTTAGGAATGTTTAAACTGTCTACAAGCTTTTATTTTTAAAAGTGAACTTTAATCTTCTGATGTTTCTCTACCTTGTAAGATCCTTAGGCAGGAAACATAGATAAAACAGTTGGCTACTATACCATAGTATCTGTCCTGACTTTTTTATATATCATGACAATGTAGAGCATCTGCAGGCAAATTTCTTTTCCATTGTATTGGTTTCGTGAATACCATCATTCCTGGCTTGCTTGTAAACACTGTTTTGTTGCTGGTAAAATTACTGCACTTAGTGACTTAATGGACAAAAATGGCTTTGTTTACTGTTAACCCTTGTCAATGAAAGTAAGGGAAGAAAAAGCCCCACAATTATTTTAATAGGACAGGAAAATCTTTTAGCTCTAGTTCTGTCCGCAACTTGTCTCAATTGCGAAAAGCAGTGATTAATGGTATTACATTTAGGACGTAGCTATGTGACCAACTGAAAATGTATTCTAGGATGGCAAGGAAACAGTTATGTTAGTGTGTGTACAAATCCCAGCCTCTAGACAGAGTACCTTCTGGATTTTATTGTTCTACACCTTATGGCTTAGGCTCCAGTATGTACTGCAGATTTTACTGAAAATGTGATATTGAGTCCTTGAGAACCATCACCTATAGAAAATAGGGGACCCTTTGATTCCTTGTGGTATAAGTCTCTTCTTGATTTTGGGTGCTATAAGAAAAGGCACAGTCTCAATGCTTTAACTAGGTATAAATTGTATCGCATTGCCTAAATACACAGTCTGGATGATGCAGCCTACTATTGCAATGTCGTATCTTTTGGAAAGTTAGAGTAAAACAGAAGAATATGAATTAAATAGAGATCTCATAGATGTAAGAAACAGCTGTTACAGTATGTAGGTGAAATGATTATATGAAACTTGTGCTGATGAATTGTTGAAGAACTGTTCTTAGGTTGATGTCCAATATCTGGATTCAAGCATGTTCTAGTACTTAGCAAATATGCTTGCTAGACTAACTTTAAACTATATTAGTCTAAAGACTAAGGACTTGACTGGGTTCCAAGGCTTCTTTGTTGACTGTTGTCTTGGTTTCTTAAAATCAATTTGTGTAAAAAGCTTTATGATGTTTTCTAGAAACACTTTAAAAATGTTGCATTGAAATTTACAGCCCAAACCAGGAAAACATACTAATATTTCTACAAAAAGTGACTTGAACAGCATGGCATCATCTGAAGATCTAATTTCCGATAAATCTAGTGTTGCTTCAGATGTCTTTGAGTCTTCATTCAGTGGCAGTTCCTCAGTGCAAGACAAAAAAACCCTTCCTGCACCAAGTAAGGTAATGGCAAGCACATGATGTTCTGATAAAAAGAAAAAACTGAATATAGCTTACTATCTAATTTAAAGTTGTATTGTTGTGTATAAGGGTTTTAAGGAAAAGTAGTATCTCTTCTGTCATTACCATTCTTGAATGTGCGTTCTAATTCTATAACACCATGAACATACTTCAGAGCAACTGTAAATGTGTTGGATTAACAAGTGTTACCTTTAGTTTTTAAAGGACTAACTGCAGGTAAGTGATCAGCAATTTTCTTTAAGAAACAAAGTTTTTAGTGTGTGTAGTTAACTACACCATATGGAAAGGTTGCCGTAACTTGTATAAGGGTAGAATACCTATAGCTGTCAGGAGGCTTTTTTTTAAGCTTTAGACACCTACTTCCATGCTGGATGCCAATTCATGGAATCACAGAATGGCTGATGTTGGAAGGGACTTCTTGAGGTTGTCTGGTCCAACCCCCTGCTCAAGCAGAGTCACCTAGAGTCATTTGCGCAGGACTATGTCCAGATGGCTTTTGAATATCTCCAAGGATGGAGACTCAACAACCTCTCTGGGCAACCTGTGCCAGTGCTCAATGACTCTTGCAGTAAAAAAAGTTTCCTGATGTTCAGATGTAGAACCTCCTGTGTTTTCAGTCTGGTCCATTGCGTCTGGTCCATTGCATCTAGTCCTGTTACTGGGCACCACTGAACACTGCCCTTTTAGAGATTTATATACATTGATGAGATCCAACTTGAGCCTTCTCTTCCCTAGGCTGAACAGTCCTAGTTTTCTAAACCTTTCCTCAGATGGGAGATGCTCTGGTCCCTTAATCGTCTTAGAGGCCCTTTGACAGACTCTTTCCAGTAGCTCCAGATCGCTTTCATACTGGGGAATCTGGAACTGGACACAGATCTTCAGGTGTGGCTTCTCTAGTGGAGAGCAGAGGGGAACAATCACCTCCCTCAACCTGCTGGCAACACTCCTAATGCAGCCCAGGATGCTGTTAGCATTCTTTGCTGCAAGGGCACGTTGCTGGCTCACGTTGAACTTGTCTGCCAGCACCCCCAAGGGCCTTCTCTGCAAAGCTGTTTTCCAGCTGGTTAGTGCCCAGCATATACTGGTGCCTGGTGTTACTCCTTTTATTCTTTAATCCCTTTAAGTCCATACTCAAGTTTGTGGCAGGAATAAAAATAACAGTCCACCTCTTACATCTGATATTCCAGTTCTGTATAATAACCCAGATATAATGAACTCTTTCTAAGACAATTCACTTTTTAAACTGTAATCTGAGGAAGGAGTTCTCTAAAATTCACATATAAAAAGCTATTAAACCAAGAGAAAGCATGGCAAAATGTGGGTGTTTTGTTTGTTTTTTTTGCTTTTGAATAAACTATATTCTCTGATTCAGCCTGGCTTAAAGAAGATAACGCATCTGAAACTTCCTGGTGTTGCTAGTGGTCTCACAAGAAAGACTACTTCATCTTCTTTGTCATCAGTGTCCAGCACAAACTCAAGTCTGAATTCAAGTTTACCCATTTCTCCCATAGGAAAAAATGGTAATAACTCTTACTACATATTTGTGCCACAAATCAATTTTGAAGTAGCTAAGCATGTCTTGGACTGTGTGTTTGGGTATGTTTTAATGGTGTCCAGTACATACAAGCAGTAAGAAATGTTTTGAATGGAGAACAAAATTTTGTAGGCTATCCCAATAAATCCCTGTGGACTGAAGATAAATCTTAGACTTCTCTTGTTGTAAAAACTAGATTTATTTAAACCTGATGCCTATGTGTGAGAGTCTGACACAACTAGAAAATAAGCAATGCCTCAGGAAACATTCTTGTACATGACCTTCTCTGTCACAGCCAAGTATGTGAGCTTTTGAATGCTGTAAGCTTGTCTAACTTGAATTAAAACAAACAGGCCAACACCAAAACAACTGAAATACAGAAGGAAGGTGGAAGGCCTAGTTCCGAGTTTCTGTAAGCCTAATGAAAGGATGAGCTTTACTCCTGTAGAAGGGGGGGGACGGGGACGGGGACGGATGGACCAACAAACAAAACCAACAACCCAACTGAGTACAACCAAGAGGCTTATACTATAATGAGGACACCAATTTGACCCTTTCGGGAAGCCTCAAAATATCAGGAAAATAATCCCCTAAAAATAGTGATAGATGTAAGCACCACAGTGCTTATAGATCTATCAAGATACCGAGTTACTACAAACTTTTATTTTGTAGTTTGTTTCTGGATGGATAGTAGTATATCAGTAAAAGTTAAAGCTTAATAAGAATTATTTCATGTGATAGAAGTGTCTAGTCAAGATTCATCTTATTAATGAACGTAACCTACAGACTAAAAGAACTCTACAGAAAACTGAGAAAATCACTTGTGGGGTAGTTCAGCCTGTGGTGTTAATCAGTATAACTTGAACTATTACCTTCTTGAATGCCTGCTTAAGGGAACTGAGCCAGCTCTGCTGGGACAAAATGTTGAAAATGTAACTTAAATCTGCAAGCTGTTTTGGCATTCCTTGAAGAATATTCTTTGAGTTGATTGCAGTAATTCAGGAATTTGGTGAGGAGACTTTCTAAAACAGACAAAATAGATGGAGAATTCAGGGAGTAAGTTTTTGGTAGTTGTATGTGTCCTCCTTAAACTTGAGTTGTTTGAATGTAAATTTAAATGCTGCAAATTGCTGGTTTTCTTTCCTGTGTAATTATTCTATAACTTTGTAATAAGCAACAATTCAGAAGTATAACTTAACTTTCTATTTCAGGAAAAACAAGCATGTCTTCAAAAGCTAGTGTGAGTGGCTCTAAGCTTTCAACTAGTGTAAACAGGCTGGCTCTTGTCAGACCTACCAGAGTGTCATCTCTGCAGGCTGCCAATACTGAGAAATCCAGGAACCAAGCAAGATCAGCTAGTACTCCCAAAATATCTAGTGTTGCAAGCTTGGCTAAATCTTCAGCTTCTACAACATCATCTGAAGCTGTAGGCAGTGGAATTCAGAGGCTGAGCTCTGTTCCCAGTCTGCAGAAGCTATGTCAGCAGAATACAGATGGAAGCGCAACAAAAGGAAGCCTGCATCCAAAGCCCAGGGACAGAGTTTCGTCGGTTCCCACAAGCCAAACTAAGGTTTCAGTGAAGACCGGAGGTAAGCACATACTTTACATGACCTGTCTTCTAGCTTGGCTATTAAAAGCAAATGTTACCTTGAATGCTTATTTGTTTCATTATACTTCTGTCCAACCTCTTGGAAGGAATTAGTATTTTAACCGAAAGGTATCAGTTATAAAATAACAAAAAAAAATGTGTATAGCAACTAACAAAACTTTTCTCTTTAGATACACCATCAAACAAATCAGCACCAAAAGCAACACCATCTCTTGGATTAACATTTTGCAGCATGCTTGGAAGGTAGGGCTTAACTGAAAATTGCATGTACCAAGGCATACTTAAATGCGGCAAGTTTGGGTGTTGCAACAATCTTTAAAAGTTCTAACTTCATTGTCTGGTCTCTGAAGACCCTCTAGGTTAGCTGTGTTAATGCCTGTTGGAAGACATTTAAAACAAATAAAAAAAAAAACAAAAAACAAAAAAACCCCAAAACCAAAACTAAACAATGTCCCCCGCTCTCTTCAGAAGTAGATGGTTTCCTTTGCAGTGCTAAATAGGCTACAGTCATTCATAAAAGAATTCTTATGAAGTAAAGCCTTTATGCTGTGATTATCAACTTTATGATGACTCCTGTTCCTTTACTGACCAAAGGGAAACTGATTTCTATTGTTTCGTAGAATAGTTTGAATAAAAATTTTTCATGAAGCTTTTGGCTAATGCTTGTTTCTTTTTTTAGTGCCATGGCAGTCAGCACTCCTGTGAAAGCCTCAGAAGATGGGATCTTTCAGAATTCTTGCCTTCCTGAGAGGTCTGTCTTCATGACTCCTGCCAGTCTGAAACGGTCTGGCTTACCTACGCCTGTTCGTCGTATCTCAGGATTTCCAGCAATGACTCCTAAAACTGCACCAAGAATGGCATTTTCTCCACATGTTGCATCTGTTCGCCAAAGTTTCAGCTTTTCTACCAAAAAGACTCTTACAGCTGG